CTCCTTTATTGTGATTAGATGCTGAGGTGTACACTGACCGCGTGAACAGAATTGGTGTTAGCCATGTGTTTCTTTGAAGGTAACATTTTCTTTCCCTTGTGTGTGTTGTTTTGGTTTTGCGCTGGAAGCTCCTCCCTGGGAGATGGTTATATGAGACTGTCGAAAGCCGACAGCTTCCAGGCTTCTGAGTTCTGTTCCCTGCAGCACAGAGCTCCTCTAATTACACCGAAGAAATAGACATCAAGTCCGAAATGTGCTGTGTTGCTTGTTTTCGCTTTGTGTTTTTGGGTGGGCACAAGGTGCTTGTGCTGTTTCCCTCTGTCTCACAAGATACAAACATCACTGATGAAGCGATGAGGAGTCCTGTGGCACCTTATAGACTAACTGAAGTGTAGGAGCATAAGCTTTCGTGGGCAAAGACCCACTTCGTCAGATGCATGACGAAGTGGGTCTTTGCCCACGAAAGCTTATGCTCCTACACTTCAGTTAGTCTATAAGGTGCCACAGGACTCCTCATCGCTTCTGCAGATTCAGACTAACACGGCTACCCCTCTGATACTAAACATCACTGATGTTTGCTCTTACAGATTTTTCTGCCCCTTCATCCCAGGGCACCGACCTCGCCCAATTCAAGTTCTGCTGCAGAAGTACAGGCAGTCCCCAGGTTACGTACAAGATAGGGACTGTAGGTTTGTTCTTAAGTTGAATTTGTATGTAAGTCAGAACTGGTACATATTGTAGGGGAAACTCTAGCCAAACATTTCTCCAGAGCTCAGTTTTATTCTCCCACACCTCGCTTCCCTCAGTCCTTTATTCTCAAGCTGAGGGTGTCTGCTGAGAAAAGCCGCTCCACGTCTCCCTGGTCTGCTGGGGGGGGCGACGGGGATGCTAGCTTCGCGACTCCCTGGTCTGCTGGGGGGAAGCAGCTAGTGCGGGGTTGCCTCACCCCATTTGTAAGTAGGAATCCGATGTAAGTCGGATCCATGTAACCCGGGGACTGCCTGTAATGGCTACTGGGTTTGGAGCTGGAGCTTGTTCTATATAGAGCTCTGAAGGGAGACTCCTTCCTGGGTAGCCTTTCCATTCCGTGAACCAACAGAACCATACCAGGCAAAAGATACGATTCCTAGTGGCTGACCGAGCACCAGTTTGTGTGGGAGGCAGGAAGCGATTCGGATATCAAGTGTGTACCTATATTTCTTGGGAAAGTTCTACTGTTGTGCTGAAATTCAACGTTGGGGACGCACAGGCCGGCTGAATGTAGAGCAGGGTGGAGAACTTTTTTTGCGAGCGGGGCCAGTGAAACACAGGGAAATCAGTTGGGGGCCATACAAAAGTGAGGGGAAAACAACCCCCCCCCAAATCACCTACCTCACTGATGTGGCCCCCCAGCTGAGAAGCAGAAAGAAACTCCCCCACGTTCCTCCCCCACACCAGAGCATAAGGGGCCTAGGCTAGTAGATTTTGTTGGGGAAAGGCCTCCCGACCGTGTTTTACTGGGCCAGCCGGGGGGCAGGGAAACGGCGGCGCCAGAATTGAATCCAGCCCTGGCCTGCCTGCCTCTGGCCCATGAGGCCGGGGGCTCCTCCCCCCCACAGTGGGAAACTGGCACTCCAGCCCTGGGGGAGGGTGGTGTCAGAGGAGGTGTGGGGCTGCAGCACCAGTGCAGGCTCCCCAGTGCTGGGGGTGGAGGAGCCTGAGTCTCAGGGCCAAATCTGGCCCCCCAGGCCTTAGTTTCCCCACCCTAGATCTATAGCATAGTGCATTTCTGGGACAGGAATTCTTAAACCTCTGCGCGGGACCAACGTCTTTATTCTCACAAGGCCCCCTAGGCGCAGCAGATGTAGCAGCAGACAAACTACTTGCTGTTCAGCATCTGGAACCAAGGTTCCCGCCGCTCTTGAGGATCTGCGTGAGTTTTTGGACAGGCGTTCGTGCCCCCTCATCCCCACGGGCGGGACTGTCCAAAAACTCTGCACGGGCCGAACTCTGCTCCGTGGTAACGCTCTCGGCGCAGCGTCCGGCCGGGGCGGTGAGCTTCGACAGTCCCAGCCCCGTGTGTGAATGGGCGTGGCCTGCTCCGAAGAGCGGAAGGCTTGGCTAAAGGCCAGTCTACCCCTCAGCGTGGCGGGCCAGGCCTCCTCCAGTTGCTGGCCGGGAGGCTGGTGGAGGTTCCAGCAGCAACTGCCGGGAGACTCAGTAACCTGCATGCAGCAAAGCTTTGTGGCAGCGTGCGTTGCTGCCTGTCCTTGGGGGGACTAATTCCCACAGTGTGAACGCTACAGGCACCTGCCCTGTTTCCAGGCTCACTGGGGGATGGGGTGCCATTTCCACCTTGGGGGAGGGGAAGCTAAATCCCGCTGCCCTGAAAGCGGCGAGATGTCTGAGGATGGGAGTTAAGAGAATGATTCCCTCGCCGAACGGCAAGGTGTTTCCCTAGTGCTTCCGGGGACGAGCCAGGATGCATGGGGCTAGGATATCACCATTCCAACTGCTGTCCTGGTCTAGAGCAGGGGTGGGGATCCTTTTGTGGGTGGGGGGGGGTCTGCTGACCCATAGAAAAATGAGTCTGGGACCCCACACAAGTGAGAAGTGCAAAAAAACCCAGACCCCTCACTGAGGTTTTCAACTGACAAGGAGAAAAACATTCTCCACGTTCCCCTCACGCCCCAGAGCCTAGGGGGCCCAGGCTAGTAGATTTCGTGCATTCCAGCCTCGTGGAAGGGAAAGGGGGGAAGGGCGGGCGGGAACTGGAGCACCAGCATGGGCTTCCCAATGCTGGTGAGAGCTCCAAGCCTCGGGGGGCTGGATCCTGGTCAAGAGCCCATTGACATCAATGGAAAGACTCCCGTTTATTTCAGTGGGATTCAAGCATCACATTCTGACGATGGGTACGTGTGAGGCTCACCCTGAATTCAGCAGAGTGGACAGACCTAAGGGCTGACTTTGGCCCTTTCGTTTTAAAAAACCTTCCTCCATCTTCCTTCAACCAACCCGCCAGAGCTTATCCTACTTCACCAGCAGCCCTGAATCCCTCCACACCATCCTTGGCACCTCATGCTCTCCAGTTCT